GTCTGGAAGTCCAAGCCCCAGGTGTGGGCATGGCTGGGTTCTAGGCACAGCCTGTTCCTGGCTTGGGGACGGCTGCCTCTCACCATGTCCTCACTGGGTGGACAGAGATGCTTCCTCTCCACTCTTCCCCCCACAAGGGCAGAGCCCCACCGTGAGGGCCCCACCCTCATGGCCTCATCACCTCCCCGAGGCCCCGTCGCATGGGGGGTTAGGGCTTCCACGTACAAATCTGGGGGACACAGACATTCAGACTGTAGCGTTCTCTAATCTCACCCCAGTGAACGTAATGGCTCTTGTGAACTTTGGGGTTTCCCCCCCGAAAGCCGGGCCACACGTACACCATCTGCCCATCTTGGTAAATGGCACAACTCTATGCACCCCCCATTATGCAAGTCAGAAATGGGCACACTTTGCTCAGCCCCCAAGGACCATCCTCCCCCCCCCCAGGCAAGGCCCCTCTCTACCTTCTGGATTCAGCTCAGAAGTTCCCATGTCACAAAAGCCCCTTGCCGGTTCTGTAGGGAATCTGCACCCCGGCTGTGCCAGGCTTCATCGCACCCACCTGCCGTCCCCACACTGGCCTCTATTGACTCTTTCCCTTCACCACCTGTAAAGTTGAGAGGGCTGACGGTTTTATCGCCATGCTCTGCGGCCTGGGGACGGGGTTGGAATATTTGGCAATGAGACGGGGCCCTGTCTGGACACCGTGCTGACCCCAGCCTGGTCCTTAGTCCCCAGGCTGCCCTCCAGAGGGGAAACCCGTCTACCACCTGAGAGCTGGGTCACGGCAGAGCTAGTTTACATCCCCGTTGTGCCCCCCCTCCCCAACCCCCACCTGCCCGTGGAAGAAACCCTGGGGCCGGGGAGGTAGCCCACGTGTGCTATGCGTTCTGGGACCCAGCACAGCCCCTCCTTGGGGGGGGGGGGTGCGTATCCCTAGCCAGCACAGCTGCTGCAAATTTAACAAGGAAAGACATCAGTGCCACCCTGGTGGCGCCCAGAGGCTGCTGGGATATTACTGAACTAGGTTTCATGAATAATAGAGGCTCCCTTTCCTTCTGCCTGAATCCTGTGGTCCAAAGAGCATCCCTCAGCTGGACATCATTCCCGAGAGCTCCCTTTAGCAGGCCTGCCTGCTGATAGCCCTTCCTGACTCTGCCCCCCGAACATCTCTCCGTTCTGACACGATGTGCCCCATCATTCCCTCTGGTCCATCCTGTCGATCTGCCTGTAGCACACACTCGCCCATGCCATTCCCTGCCCGGAGACCTCCCTGGCGGGAGACCTCCGTGGCTGCTCCCTGACTCCTTCACAGGCATCACCTGGCCACCGACTCCCTCCACACGCTCTTCCTTCCTCCTCCCCGATTACCCTTGTTTCTTAAGCAGCCCCCTCCCCGCACACAGTGCCACCCTTTGCAAAGGCTCTTTCCTCTGCTTGGAATGCCCCATCTAGCAAACTCCTATTCATCCTTCCATACCCAGCAGAGACACTATCTTCTCTGCAAAGACTTCCATGATATGACCCCCCCCTTCCCAAACTGTTAGCACTCTTTTTTCCATCCAGATAGCTTAGTTCATCCACAGATATTTACTGAGCTGGGCATGCATGACAAAACAGATGAAAAAGACAATGTCCCTGACCTCAAGAACTGATCACAAACCCATGAGGGAAAAGTACTATGGACTGAATTGCATTCCTCACAAATCCACCCATTGAAACCCTAACCCCCAGTGTGACTATATTTGGAGATGGAGTCTAGAAGGAGGTAATTACAGTTAAATGAGGTCATAAGGGTGGGGCCCTGATCTGATAGGGCTGGTGCCTTATAAGAAGGGGAAGAAAGTTTCCTAAAAGGCCATGTGAGGGCACAGGGAGAAGGTGGGTATCTACAAGCCAAGAAGAGAGCTCTCAGTAGAAACCAAATTTGCTGGCAGATGATCTCAGACTTCCCAGCTTCCAGATCTGTGTGGGACAAATTGATGTTGTTGAAGCCCTCAGTCTGTGGTATTTTGTTACCCAGCGCATCTGACTGATACAAGACGGTCAACCCTCAGGCCGTGGTATTTTGTTACCCAGCGCGTCTGACTGAGACAAGACGGTCAACCCTCAGGCCGTGGTATTTTGTTACCCAGCGCATCTGACTGAGACAAGACGGTCAAAGGACCAGGCCATGGCAGCGCAGGTAGTCAGCTCCGTGAGAGTGAGGGCAGGAGCCTATAGCCGGGAGCAGGTGGGGTGTCTGGGAAGGCTTTCTGCGCCGAGTGCCACTAGGGCTGAGTCCAGAAGGGTGAGTGTAAGTCAGAGTGAGAAAGAGGGAAAGAGTGTTGCAGGCCGAGGACACAGCCCATGCCAAGGTCAGAGGACAGGAAGCTGCCTGCTGCCTCCAGGAGCTGCCCAGCATGGCTGGGGCAGGGCACACTCCCTTCTCTGTGCTCCACGCCAAGAAGCCTGGCTGGACCTGGCTTAGGACACTTGCCCCATTAGCTCATAATTACCTGTACCTCCGCTAGAGAGATGCTGCCATGCCCTGCCTGGAGCCGCCTGGCACACACCATTCCTACCTAATGTGTAGGCCTGGATGCAAACATCTGCGTCTCTGGCTGTGGGATCCGCTCAGCCTCCGTGAGGGGCAGGCCTGGAGCACCAGGGAGTTAAGCAGCGTCGGAAGCAGCTCTCAACCAATAAGTCATCCCAGGTCTTCCCTCATTGATTGGGACAATTCTGAGCTCACCCCCACTGGGATGGAGCCCCCCATGCCCACTGCGACCATCTGCTCATGGACACACCTCCCTGGGTCCCTTCCCTGCTTTCCCTGACCTTCCTCCCTCTGCCCCGGTGCTTCCTGGGATCTCCTCCCACTTAAATGGCTTGTCCTCGGTCCTGGTTTCTGGGTCTACTTCTGGGGATACCTGTCTTGCCTCCTCCCACCCCAGCCTCACCTACGGGGGGTAGAAAGGTGTTACTCTTATAGCCAGCCGAGGAGTAAACACAACTGTCTGGCAATAGCATCTGGGGCCATGCAAGGTGGGTGGGTGATCACCACCGCTTGCTCCTGTAATAAGGCAGGGGCCCTACCCCACGGTTGAAGCCCCACTGCCTATCCCAGAAGCATTGGGATAGGCTTTTTCTCTCTCTAGCCTACGGAAAACACTTTCCGCATCTCTGGATGGATTTTTCTGGCGTGCCCACAGGAAGCTGCTGGTCTGCAGGGACCTATAGCTCTCTCCTGAGACCCTCTGGCAGCGGGACTAGCGGCCACACCCTCTGTCCTATCTGAAATCACTTCTCCCATTGACCTTCTGCCTTGGGCTCCATCTGGCCCGCCCTCCCTCAAGGGGGTCTTTCTCCAGCTGCCCTGGGTCGCCAGCGCCAGGCTGGCTCCCGACAGGCCCCCTGGCCCCCTGGCCCCAGCAAGTCTGAGCACTCACGGACCCCATGGTCTGCCAGCTTGCAGTCCCGGCCCTCAGCACGTCAAGGCCTCA